GATTCAAGAGGAATCAAGACCAAAAATCATATTTGCAACCCCAGAAGATTGGTTAACAGAAGTAATATATCAAATTAACATTAAAGATGATTCACAATATAATAAGAAAATGTAAAAAAGATCTTTTGGCGAAGTAGATCCATAGACAGAAGTCCCAATAGAACTTGAATACGAACTCATTACAGAGTACAGTAATACCTAGACTATGGGGTGTCAAGAATTGGAAAAAGAAAAAGAAGGACATATTATTAGAAATACTAGAGAAGATTTTTGTAGAATATCTTAAAAATCAGAAGATCTTTAATGAAATATAAGAAAGATTCTTGGGAAGAAGACCAAGTTTTAGAAGAGAAAAGAAGAGTAAGAAGACCAAGAAAAGAAGAGAAGAAAATTCCTATGCCTAGAATACGGAAAAAAGAGAACTTGGGCTAACTGATCAAGACCTTGAAATAAAGAAATCGAAAGAAAATTTAAGGTACTCGAAGAAAAGAAGAAGGTATAGAAGAATATTCCTGAAAGAAACCGATAGATCAAGCCCTCAAGCAGAAGAAGAAAGGAAGTATGAAGTTATAAACTGGAAGGAAAAGTTATAGAAAAGATCAAGAGAAGACTTTCAAGATCCAGGTCGCAAATTGGAAAAGACAGGGTGAACTGGAAAAGAAGGAAAAAGAAAAAGAAATATAATCATGAATGAAAAAATTTTGGCAATATTCCTGTGTTAAAAGAAGAAATTTTTTGATTTATTCATAGAAAATTAGGTTTAGAACTTTGTTCAAAAAAGATAGATAGTTTTGAAAGGGAAAATTATCAATTTAATATAGTAAAAAATTTGTTTGTTTTGAAACCATCTTGTGATGGTTTTCTAGGCTAGCTTGGTATAGCCCTTCGGTATGGGCAATGGCCTTAACCAGTAAAGCAACTGCACTTGAGCACCCTTAGGGGCAGCCGAGTGATATTAGATCTGTAACTTAGATAGTTGAATTGTACCTTGTGCAAATGCTTTGATCTAATAAAGATACCGGCGAGGCTGCTGATACATGCAAAAAAAAAAAATATAGCAGTTAGATATGATAATAAAGATAAGATAGTATGGAACTACTATGATTTTGAAACATTTTTTAAACCCTACTTTATTAAATGTAGTGGTATATGAACATATTGGCATTTTTATTTTTATCATAATCAACCTAGAAAAGTTTTTATGACATCAGATCCTAATAAGTCAAAAAAAGAAGCTATAATTCATAATAATCTTTCTTTTAATCCATACAAACCTTTAGATACAATTTTTTTAAAGTCTATATCTTTAAAACATCAGACACAACTATTTAAAGATATTCGCCCATATATACATGATCCATATAAAGATGAGTTATGTTTTGCTCCAAATGAAAATAATGAAAATTCAGATTCAAATTAATTAGATTATTATGCTATTACTAATATATAAATAGCTACCTATTAATTTACTAGTTTCTTTAATCTTAAATATTGTAAAAGTTGAAACTTAAAAATCATACAATTTATGAAATGTATTAATATCAAAACCATCTCTACTTCCACATAATAAAGTTCAAACTTATAGGGTCTATGAGATATGTATTATAGTCATTATTTTTTCGATTAATCCAGCTTGAAATTATAGTTTTATTTATGCTAGAATGAAAACTAATTAGTAAGACATAAAATTAATATTAAACATAGATCTCACAAAAAAACATAGATCTCACAAAAAAGTTTAATACTGTACGTACATTTTTTTTTTCTTATGCACTCTCTTTTAATCAACTGTTTTTTTGCTATTCTTCATCTTGAGTATACCAGAAAATAAGGTTTACGATAATTTGATATCCAGAAGTCTGGAATTCTGAGGCTACTTCACCGGTTGAATAAAAATTCTTTAGCAGATTACGATTAGTAAAAAAAGATCATGATTATATGGTAATGTAGCCGACAGCATACATAATAACAGATCATGCAGCAATCTTAAATTAGAACAGAAAATTATCGTACGCAAAAACTACTGCGTATAAAACTGTGCCAAATTATAATATGTCAACATATGTTAAAATTTTTACTACAAATAAATCACACACTTGCGAATACAATCAAATAAAAATCTCGATTTCTGTTAGTTTGTCTCTAAGCCCCGATTTGCTGTGGAAGGGCCCATATGATAATTAGCTTGCATTCCAAGAGTTTTTTTGGTTACTTTATAACAAATAAGTACTAATTTTTAACATTCTAATTTGAAGGTTTCGGAAAGGTTTCGGGTTTCGGGTCATAACTATAGTACAAGTGTATACTTCAAATTTACTAGATTTTCGATTTGTAAGTAATTGAGCAGGCTCATACACGATTTTAGTTAACTAGCATTTGTTGCACATATGACTATTAATAAATGTTATGCCTGGTATTGTTGGCACAATGCTGGTGCCAATGCTAGTGCTAATGCCTAAGTGCCTATTTACATCGTGCCTGTGCCAAATTTTAAAATCAAGTTAGGCCTGTGCCTTAAACACTTTTTTTTGTATGGGCATGTGCTAGGTTTTCAGAACACTGATTCCAATGTGCCAAAATTGGGAGTAAATATAACGATAATAATAGCAGGCAAAAAATGTGAATAATAGAGAAATACCATTACGGTAAGAAATGTGACTAATGTGATAAAGCTGTTATAAAAGTAAGAATATTTCGTAGATATTTTATCCAAATTTTTATATTAAAAATTTTATATGTTTTTTCTTTTATTTACAAAATTTATAAGATATAATTTTCGTATATGCGTTGTAACGCACCCACCTGATCAACCAGTCAGATTGTAAGATCAGATGTAAAGTGAAATCGAAAAAAAATAACGATGTCTATAACTCATAATTTGCTTATGAAACCACCTGTTGCGTTCTAACAAAAAAAATTACTTGCAAAACTTTGGGTATAACTAACATTTACATTGATTTCACATTACACCAGATCTTATGGGTGCGTCGCAACGCACCCACGCTAAATGATAAAATTCTTTTAAAAAAAGTTTAAACAATTATATGTCTTTGAAGAAATTAAATATATAATAATGAATATTTGAATTATTAATAATATGCAATTGAATTATTTTGTAATGAATAATTGAATTATTTAATAATGAGCAATTGAATTATTTAGTAATGAATAATTGAATTATTTAGTATATAATGAATAATTGAATTATCTGGTTGAATTATCTAGTAATGAATAATTGAATTATCTTGTAATGAATTATCTGGTAATGAATAATTGAATTATCTGGTAATGTATAATTGAATTATCTGGTAATGAATAATTGAAATGTCATCACACATGTCAAAATTATAATATTGGAAATATTGCTCATATATCCTGAACCATATTTAGTTGTATCCAATTTTCTCCCATGTACTCTATCAAGTTTGGGCGTTTTTGGACATTTATGGACAAATAAATAAATTGAAATTACTCAAAATTTTATTAAGTTAACCTAAATAAAAATATTCAGCGCTATAAAAAATATATAATCAAATATTTTTTTAAATTAATATATTAATTTTTGAAGCTTGAATATGCTGTGAATATTCTCGGACATGTGGATGTTTGGATATTGGACATGATCTAAAAAAAGTCTTGGGCATAGTAGAAGTGACAACGCTGATGCTATTAAGAGATCTTTAATATGATTCAAGTTGGTAATTTGTGCTTTTGAGATTCCAAGATTTTTGTAAAGATGGGCAATTATTTTTGATAGTAGTTAAAATAAAAGAGAAGATCCAATATCCAATGTTCGGAAATTCTTTACGTTAGGTGAATGAAATATAGTTATTAAATCACATTCTTTAATAGCTATAGTGATATTTCTGTCACCATAAAGATAAAGGTTTCCAGTCGAGAACATTTAGAAATAAAAGATGAAATAGCATCAGATGGAATGTTTTCACATTTAGCCAATAGTAAATGTGATAATTTAGTTGGAACATTTGTTCCAGCTAAGAAATTTAAAGTTAAGTCGCTGATAGAACAACCACCCAAATCAAGGTGTGTAAGATTTGGAGCAGAATCGAGAAGAGGCATAATGGTTGGGTATTCAGAAATTATAGGACATTCATGAAATGAAAGTCTTTGTAAATGGGATAGTAAAGGTTTGCAAGTCATGTGAAAGGAAATAGTTGATTCATTGTAATCATTGCAAGATTGTTCAATTCTAACTCGACCGATTAGGAGAGAAAATTCTTCTAAGGCTTTACTAAATTGTTTACTAGTGCATCCGCAAAAATCAATAGTTTTGAAGTTTTGAAATATCAAGAGTAATTACAGATTCCAAAGATTCAGATACTGAAAAAGCTTTTAATTCAGGAAAAGATCTTAGGATATGAATTAAATGATCTGGGGAGACGATATTTTGGGGTTCAAAAAGCGCCTTTTGTAGATCGCAGGTAGAAAAACTAGAAAGGTCAAGTGGCGAACCATTTGAGAACAACGTTTTTTAATATCATTCAAGGCATTAATAAGGAGCGTAAATGTATGAGGAAAGTAAACGCGACGATATGATATAAGATTGGAGTAACGTGAAGATAT